ATCTCAATCCTTGCTATCAACTTTATTAGGTAGGTGTTGTTTTCCTCATTTTACATACAGATGACAAAACTAAGGCACAGAGAGGCTAAGTAACTCACAAAGGTATTCTAGGCAGTGTGAATCCAGAGCCTATACTCCAAAACTCTAAGCTGCATTGTTTTAGCACAAATATATGAGCCAGATCTATATGAAATTTGTGAAAGGGGTGTTACCTCTGGGGCCAGGAGGAGGGCAATGGGATTGGAGAAGGGAATACAGGAGAACTTTATTCTTTAAAATTAAGCGAAAAAAACCACCACTCTGCTTCTTATATGAAAGAGTGAGCACTTAACAAACTGATCCACCTGCATTAGCTGTAAACTGGACAAAATACAAAAACAACTACCTGAGGACTCTGTGGAGACTGAACAAAAAAACATGCAATTTTCGGAGGGGAGTCAACACCTTTAGCAAACGATTGGCCCTGGCTAAGTTACTGGAATTTTTTGTGGTTCTACCTTGAGGGCAGCAACAGTTGCAGCATCAATACCAGGCAGCTAAAATATCAATAGAAAAATCTGCTATCTTTCAAGCCAGAGGAACCAGGAAAAGGAGACTGGGAAGAACAGAGCTGTCAGAGAGTGAGGGAGTGGGGGGATCCTGATGACAGCCAGAGAAAAGGAACCTCTAATTTTGTGTTTAAACTCAGTCCAAGTCTCTGGCTGACTCAAAACCATATGTGCAAGAGAAATCCAAAGGCAGCTTTCGACTGAAGCTTAAACTAAAGAAATGAATTGAGATATGACCCACTACCCTACTGTGGGTGTGACAGTCTGCAATTGAGTCTAAAGGAGTTAACTGCCTGTTAAAACAGAAGCATTAACTCTTTTCTAAGCAATATAACAGAATCCAGAACCCAACATACCATTCACGATGCCCAGGATATAATCTTAGTTGACATGCAAAGAGCCTGGAAAGTTAGTTATTCTCAAGGGAAAAGAAATCAACAGAAGCCAACCCCCAAATAATCCAGACGTTGATTTATCAAAGTTGTAAAGCAAATTCAAACTATGTCAGATGAGGGAAATATACAATTGTAATCAATGAAAAGACAATAAATCTCAGCAGAAAAACAAAATTTATTAAAAAACAAATGGAAATTTTAGTACTAAAAAACACAACATGTGAAATGACAAAAATTCACTGGATAGGCCAGGCGTGGTGGCTCACGCCTGTAATCCTAGCACTCTGGGAGGCCGATGAGGGAGGACTACCTGAGCTCAGGAGTTCGAGACCAGCCTGAGCAAGAGCGAGACCCCGTATCTACTATAAATAGAAAGAAATTAGCCAAACAACTAAAAATAGAAAAAATTAGCCAGGCACAGAGGCGTGTACCTGTAGTCCCAGCTACCCAGGAGGCTGAGGCAGGAGGATCACTTTGAGCCCAGGAGTTTGAGGTTGCTGTGAGCTAGGCTGACGCCATAGCACTCTAGCCCAGGCAACAGAGTGAGACTCTGTCTCAAAAAAAGAAAAAAAAAAATTCACTGGATAGACTTAAGAACAGAAAGGAGAGAACAGAGAAAGTTACCTTGAATACAGATCAATAGAAATAATTCCATTTGAAGAACAGAGAAATAAGATTAAATATTACACTAAGTGAAAGAAGCCAGTTACAGAAGACCACATATTTTACCATTCCATTTATATGCATGTGTAGAATAGGCAAATCTATAGAGATAGAAATTAGTCCAGTAGTTATATAGGGTTGGGAGAAATGGGTGAAAAGTACTGCTAA